AGCATGAAAGATTAATTTTTGAAACTGAAGCAATTAATCTTGTTTTTTTTTAGAAAAGAAATTTATTTTATGTGTTTGGTTAAATTTATGAATTTTAAATCTAAGCATTCTATTTGATGTAGGGTAAGAATTTTATGTTGTTGATTGTTAATATAATTTCCTTTGTGGTGATTATTTTTTCTTTATTAGACAGATTTGATGTAATATGTCCAATTGTAATTTTTAAGAATTGATTTTGACACATAATGTAAGGTCATTAAGTTTGAACATCATTTTAAAAAAAATAAGGGTTTTACTATGTCAAGATCTAAAGTAAACCTTTCATGCGTGACTCTTTGTTACCTAGGTACTAAAGTAATTTCCATCGGGACATTGAACTTTTTTTTTACTATTCATGACATTAAAGATAATAAAAAATGTTTGCACATTGTTTAGAGAGTTGCTGTTTCCCATAAGTGACCCTTCAATTTATGTGAAACAACTGGCAGACAACTGTAATGTGGCTTATAATTTTATTTAATTTCATCACTTTAAAACAATTGAAATCAACATTTCTCCTTTTTATCATCAATCATTATTTTGATGACTCATAATCTGGGCTGCTGCAAGGTTTGTGGCTGCTTGATTGTGAAAACAAAAAATGCTGCTCTTTTTTATATTTCTAGAAAACAATTATTAACTTATTTTTTGGAGTTTCTTACTATTGTCTATAGTAGCAGTATGTAAAAATCCAAATCTAAAATATTGAACATTTATTGCTAATCATTTAATTATGTCAAAATTTAAGATTATACATTTTAAATATCTAAAAAAAAATACTTGTTTTAAGTATAACAAATAATTAAAAAATTTCTTCCTTGCTTTTAGTCCTAGCACTGAAAGTCTTTCTTGTGACATTGTTAATCTTGGGTAACTTTCAACTGTTTAATTTTCAAAATGAAATATCGCTGACACACAGGTAGTGTTAGAAAAATGTGCAATACAATAACTAAATTTGAACAAGTTGTTGAGAAATTCTTTCTACAAATATATGCCAGTTTCTCAACGGGATGCTTTTCAGTTTTAAAATAAATTGTGATTGCTCTTCAATCTTCATAAGTTCCTTTCCATTTGCTTGTGATTGCTCTTCAATCTTCATAAGTTCCTTTCCATTTGCTTGTGATACGCTCTTCAATCTTCATAAGTTCCTTGTGATTGCGGGATGTCACCTTCATCTGGGTCCCCTCCTATGTTGGCATTGAGGGAAACGAAGTCGCAGACAGAGAAGCAAAGAGAGCCCTAAATCATGCGGTGTCAGGAACCCAAATTCCCTGCTCGGACCTGAGACAAAGTATTGCCTCTGCCACCTATCGAGAGTGGCAGAACCGATGGGAGGCTGAGACTCACAATAAACTCAGGCAGATTGTGGCGGATGTCAAATGGCGGCCCACATCTAGGGGTCTGACAAGGCGTGGTAGCACGACCATGTCCAGACTTAGGATTGGCCACAGCTACATCACGCACTCTTTTGTGCTGAAGAGAGTTGAGCCCCCACTTTGTGAGTACTGTGACTCTCGCCTCACTATGGAACATATCCTCGTTGATTGCCCCAGATGTCAGGAGAAATATTTTAGAGCCACTAACTTAAAAACACTATTTGATAATGTCGACCCTGGGAAGGTACTGGGCTTTATCCGGGAAGTGGGGTTATCTACGAAGATCTGATTTATGAATTTGTGAACATGTACTATTTACATTAGATTTTTACCAAATAATTAAAATTTTTACTACCTTTACTATTTTAACTGTGAATAGACCTTGATTTTAATGATATGACTGTATAGAATTTGGCCCTTGTTGTTTAGAGAGAGAGTAGTCCTTAAGGGACTGCAGGCACGACATGGCCTAAATTATGCCGATGTGCCTAAAATGAAAATAAAAAAAAAACACTTGCTTGTGATTGCTCTTCAATCTTCATAAGTTCCTTTCCATTTGCTTGTGATTGCTCTTCAATCTTCATAAGTTCCTTTCCATTTGCATCCAATGACTTTTACATAGGATCATTTAATTTAAGCTGTACCATTGGAACATGTTTCTGCAAAGTTGGTCATATTTTTAAGGCTACTTATACTTTACAAAATTTCAAAAATGTCTGTAGGCTATGTTGAACATCTCAATTCTGTCATTGAATGCATTTATTGTTATAGGAAGTATTGGATAGAAAAAAAATAATTTAAACATTGCATGTTCATTGACTTTTGTGAAAGCTCTTTCAGAGACCATTTGCTGCCAACTGCTTTTCTCAATGTAAGTGTGGGCAAAATCGTACCTCAGTTGACCTTTATAGCACTCCTTGGTTACAAAATCTTCTTTCTTTTAAACTTGTCCAAAGAAGAACCTTTTGCATGCATGGGATTTGTAAGGTAGTCTTGTCAGCGTATGCCCATTATGAAGTGAAGAGAATTTTGAGTAGCCTTAGATGCCTGATATGGAACAGCCATGTCAGCGCCATACAATACAAAGAGAATTAGATGAATTACAGAAATGGGAATCAAATTGGAGCATGTCTTTCCACCCAGAAAAATGTCAGTTGTTAAGAGTAACAAAAAAACTAAAACAAATTAATTCCACTTATCTTATTCATGGCAAACCAGTAACACAGACTAAAAACTCAAAATACCTAGGTGTTATAATAAATGAAAAACTGTCATGGAATCCACATATTGATGAAACTATAAAAAAATCCAACAAAGCATTAGGGTTTATTAAAAGAAATTTCTATAAATCAAATAAGAACATAAAACTAAAATGTTATTTAACCTTGGTTAGGCCAATAATAGAATATGCATCCACCGTGTGGGACCCCTCAACTCAAGAAAACATTAAGAAACTGGAACAAACACAAAATAGAGCAGTGAGATTCATAACAAACGAATATTCACATTTGACTAGGGTAACACCATTAGTAAAATCACTAAATTTAGAAAGCCTTCAGGACAGAAGACTCAAAAGTAAAGTAGCAATTATACATAAAACACTGAACCATAATCTTCAAATACAAAAACAAAATTTAATAAAATACTCTGAAAGACACAAAAATAAAGGCACATTCCTCATCCCATATGCTAGGACAAATTTGTACAAATACTCCTTCTTCCCTAGTGCTATTAGAGCATGGAATGGGTTGCCTGAGCTAGCCAGAAAAACCAGTGACTTGGCAGAATTTAAGTCATTGGTTAATATGCATGACTAAATGCATGACGCGTAGGACGTAATCATCTTCTTTTTTGAAGTAACGTCTGTATTATATAAGATAAGATAAGAGTGTGGTTAGCACCACTGCTTTATAGACCTTGGTAGGTGAAGAAATCTATTTTGCCATATTCTCATTTGGTGACCAAAGGTGCTTTTGGCCTTAGCCAGACAGTTGCCTACGGTGAATGGACTGCTCAGAAAGGATACAAAGATACACTGACGCTGGAGACGGGTGCTCTTTCTTTGAGTCACTCCGTTCTGTCTAGAGCCCTAAATAACAGACTATGGAGCCTCTAAGAACTGTCAACAGTCTCTTCATGTTAACCAGAAAGGCTGATATGCTAACCCACTGGACAGAGCACTATAGTTGTCTGTGAGAAAACTCTCGCCAAAATTCTACAGGAAACAGTTAGAATGAAGATTGAAAACTTAGTGCTATCCATCTTAATGTTTAGATCTCAAAAACTTTAAAAATCTAAATTGCTTTAATTGTGCTGGAAATGTATGTACGTTTTTGTTCTTAAAATTTAATGTTCACATCTATAGTACAGAAGAAATCATTGTTTAATTTTAAGTTTTAAAAAAAAAAAAAGTAGTTTGTGTTGTGAAGGGTCAACATTCATGTCATGTAAAATAAGACCTGGTAAAAGTTCACTAGCAATGTTGTCTTCAGTGTACTTTTTGTTTTCTTATTAAATATGCATATTGTTTGGTTACACATAGAAACATTTTTTAGAACAAGATGAAAAAGGCCTGTGCCCTTTACAAATATGATTGTGTTACTATCTTCATCAGTGTTTAATGATAATATTGTTTCATACCGATAAATTCTGGGGTCACTGTTGTAAATTTAGGTTTGAGTACAGTAGACTTAAGGATGACTTCTATATGTATAAAAAAAAAATAATTTTTTTTTCATCTTCCTGTTTGATTTATCTAGAATTCGATTTAAGAAAAAAATCATTAATAACTTGTTTAAATTTATTGGATTTTGTCTTAGTTTCAAGCCAGTTTAGTTTTAGAATGAAAAGTATACAGAAGCATTGACCTAAGTTAGTAGTAGTATTTGTTTGGATGTTTAGTGTGCTACATGTTGTTTATTGTGAATGTATTTTAATTTGGTCATTGTATTAGTCTATGCAAATTTACAAATGTTGGTGTGATATTGTGTTCATTGTAATGTTTCATATTTCTTTAAAGAACATTACAAAAAAGTTCTTAACTAGAATAAAACCTACAAACATACAATCACTAAGTTTAATGTTTTGTGTGAGGTTTGACTCTGATCTGCATTAATTCTTTGCAGGTCTAATATACGGACATACTGGGCATGTGAGATTTTTGACTAGTGTGGAAATCAGTAGTACTGCAAGCACCAAAGCTGAACTGAGTAAAGAAGGGGCTAGTGGGGAAAGTGCAACAGCAGAAAGAGGTGGTGGCTTCTCGTTCCAAGACATTCACAGAAGGTCCTCGATGGCCGCAACCACAGCTACAATGGCATCCCGAATGCTGGTGATAAGTGGAGGTGATGGCTATGAGGATTTCCGTAACAGCGCAGCCAATGAAGGTGCAGGTAGAGATGACAGCACAAACCATCTTTTATTATGGCAAGTTTGATCTAATCAAACACTATGCTATATTATAATGATTATGCAACGTTGATATATATATATTTATATATAGTAAATAAACAAGCAAAGTGCTGAACAAATTTTATATACATTGCTTAAGACTGTCCAAAAATTATTTTTTTAGAGGGGGGGGGGGGGGGGGGGTTTGGGTGAAGAGGGTTGTGGTTAATCCTAAAATCTGACAAGAAATTTTGTTGCTTAAATATTTTTGTTTGTAAAGTATTTATTAAAAAGTATTGGTAAAGTCCCAGGCTATGTGTAGGTCAGCGATGATAATGTGATAGTTCTTATCAGTGTTTTTTTTAATATATCCATAAATGTAGACAGTTAAATGTGGCTGTGAGCATTGAACCATTCAGTGCAATTACCTGTTAAAAACCCAGTAATACTATTTTATTGTATATACTTGTATGGATTTGCGAAATTATACTTCATTTTAATGTTTTATAATAATTGTATAATTTTCAAAGTGATTCCTAGCTCCTCCAGTTATAGAATTTAAAAAGGCTGAGATTCATTTGGGTGCACACACCTTGCCTTATGAAAGTGAAAACTTTTTAATGATCATAAAACAGTATTAAATGTTTTCTCACTATTGTTGTAAAGAGAACCCATGGTGAGCTTAGCTATGAAGGAAAGAACTAATCGTAAAATATTTTGTCTTTTAACTAAAGAATTGTTTTTTCTTTAACCCTACTTCCAATATTTAGTCGTTTTTTGTAGGTTTTTTTTTTAATATATAATTCTTCAATAATTTTTGTCAGGACTTGATTTTGGAAATCTTTACAATACTTGTTAATGATGTTTTATCTACTAATTGTTTATGCTTAACATTTTGATAGATCTTTGATTGAAGATGTATTAGTCTTATGACTAATGTAAAACCTTTGCAAGAAAAACAAAATACTATTATTTGTAAAGAATATCTTGAGGTCATCAGACTGTCTTAGCTTGTTCATGTTCACTAGGAAACTTTCACAATGTTTGGGTTGTTGTTGTTTTTTTTATATGCTTCTGAAAATTGACCTGAGGTCCCTAAGCCCATGGTCATCAAAATAAAATTATTGCTTTTTTAGTGTATTGAAATATACAAAAACAAATGAAAGAAAAACAGGTACTAGGCAGAAAGGAAATATCAAATTTTAGCTAATTCTACGCAAGACAAATTTTGTGGCACTTGTATTTTATAAACTGATATTAAATCCACAGGGGTATATATTAGTGTGGGAAATGGTGTGTGTTGCTCAGTATTGTATATGATAATGTAGATTGTGAGCCTAGAAAAAATTCCAGTTTTGTATACATTTCAAAGCATATTATATAGATCAAAAAATGAATATAAAATTACATAAAATTATTTTTAAAAAATTTTAATTGAAAATGAAACAGTGTTTCATTTTTTTTTTTAATTGAAAATGAAACAGTGTTGATTGATTGATGGTTATTTAACACTGAAATACATTGGTCACTGATTTTCTGAAGACTTTGCTTTTTTTCTTATCAAATCCATAAAATTTGGTTGTTTCTTTTGAGTTCGCCTTGGTATATTTGTTCATACCTTACATTATCTTATTGCTGTCATGCTAGTCATACAGAATGCAAAGAATTTGAGAAGTTGTTAGTCCAAGAGAAGAGATGTGGTCATAAGTTTGATTGCATCATTGCAATGGCTTTGATTTTGCATATTAAATGTTCATATTTTTTAAAGCTTTCTTACATTGTTCAGTTTTATTTTGTATATTGGGAGAGTAAATATTGTCTAACAAACCACTAGTGCAATCTTTTATTTCATTGACACATTTTATTTGAAGTATTATTTATACAACTCTTTGAACTATGAATGTCTCAACTATGAAGTGAGGTTTTGGTTGAAATCTGTAATCACTGGTACATGTATTATGGACAGCAATAAACAGTTGTATCAACCAAAAGACTAGAATGTACAAGTTGTTAAGTTTGTATATATTATACATTGGACTCCTTATGCAGTTAGGTGATGAAGACATCTGTTTCTTAATGAGCTATGGATGAAACAGACCAGTTTTATTCTTGGCTGTTTCATGTCTGTGTAACCCAAAGCATTCTTTTGATATGCCAATAAAGTGAATGTTCTAAATCAAGCATCTGAGTTTGGTTACATATGATAGATATTTGATACATTGTTATGTAATAAAATGTGCTCTCACTGATTGATTTTTAAAAAAAATATTCTAATATACTTTAATAAGTTAGTCACTGCCTTTTTTTTTTTTCAATAGCAAATCAGAGCTTAGAAAAAGATATGAAAAATATTTTTAAAAAAAACAAAAATTATAGGAACTGTAATTTTAATCCATGAGTTTGGATCTGTCAAGTAATTAAATTTGTAATAGATCTAGACTAGCAATACTAAATCTGTAATTAGACATCTTTTGACCAATTGGTCTTCCCATCACTTGTCTGTACCAGTACAAAGGGAAGGGGGGAGAGAAAGTACTTATAAAAATAGAAGGTTTTATAGTTATATATTGGTTAAAATTTTTAAGCAACCTAATTCTCTACACATAGTATAAACTTTATACCACAAAATAAGTACAATATCTTTCCCATGTTTAATAAAAAAAATAATAATAAATTACCAATAGTTCATTAACTATCTGCCAGTCCTAAGCCCGGGTGAGAAAGTATGAGGGTTTTGCATGGGCCCCCCACCCTGTAAAACCAAAATTGCTACAGAAACGGCAAACTGACACAAAGAAACTCTTACCGATCTTTGTGGAGACAGCTTGCCGCCCAATGCAAACGGCGCAGGAGGGTCTAAGTAAGTAAATTAACTAATTGGTTAATTTGTTAAATTGATTCTTGTTTTCTCAAGGACCAGTTCAAGAAATAATTGTGTTAAGTTTCAACTTGATCCATTATTTGGTGTGGGAGAAATAATGTGCAAAAACATTTTCTAACAGTTTTTTTTATTGATATAATTTGTGTTTCTGTAATAAGATATTCAAAGACTTTGACTCAGTAAACCTTTTTTTTTCTCTTAAAATGAACCTCAATTAGCCAGTAGATTAAATATCAAAGAATGAAACTGTAATTCCTGTTAGTTTTAAATTGAGAAATCAATAAAAACTACCTACAAATAAACCCGAAAATCTTATTGATTAAAGTTGCAAACTTTCTCACAAAGAAAAAGATCAACATTAATTATAGAAAACTAAATAGTCTCTAGTAAGTCATTGGTTTTCTTGGCAACTAAAGAAGAAATAACAATTTGTCCTAAAAAAAAGGGAAAAGAAAAGTGCCTTAATTTTTCTGAGTACTAAAATCTTAAGCTTCTTGATTCAATTTTGCTTCATTGTTTGTTTTTTTTCATTCATCGTTATTTAAAAAAAAAAAAAAGTGGCTTATAATCAGTCAAGTGTGTACTTCCTGATAAATGGAATAAAACAATGAACATTTCAGTACATGTTTCCCACCCAACCATAATAAGTCAGCAGGCATGTGGTATTCACCAATCCTTCACCATGCTACTAATACTAGCACAAAGGGGCCTAATGATCATAATTGGTAGGCCTAAACATTATGTTTTGTTGTGTTGCTGCATGCATAGGCACTGTTGGTGTAGTCGAATTGGTGTGCCTAGTCGAGGTCAATCGTACCTAGTGAAAGACAATAACTGGAGATAGGCGATCCCCTCCTCAACCAGACAATATGCACTGTGCTGTAATCACTCATTTGCTATAGTACTATAAGTCCAAATCCACTAAAAAGATACGTCTTACGAATGAAACAACACTTGCCTATAAAACGTCAACGTTAGATTTTTATTAACAAGGGAGGTAAGTGAAATATTCAGTAAAAAGCAGTCAAAATAAAAACATGATGTTTGGGCCACGAGACCTTTATAAGCCGCAAACAAACCATAAAGACAATACAAACAATATTTTTCAGAAAGAACATCAGAATGAAATTCTATCAGAGACAAATGACAGAGAAGAATGGAGAAAGAAGGTTGACAGATCTTGTCCCAGCGGTCCAGCAGACCAAAGGATAGGTGAAAGTGAATGCGATGTCAGATGTGAACCTGGCCTAACTGATGTCTTATAAATGAATATCTAATTGTTTTGTAAAGGGTCAATCTCTTATTCAAATCCTCAAGAAAAAAACATTTCCGTAAAAAAAAATTCTTTAGTTAGGTGTTCTATAGTTATTCTATTGCTTTGTCGTTCACGCGATAATATGAAAAAAAAAACAAAAAAAAACTACTTATTAATTATTGTTTTAAATTATGTCTAACTTATATGCATACTAAAAAGATTTTTCCTCGTAAAAAAAAAGTAAATATTTTTTGTGTACAGTGTGTATATAAAAGTAGTTAGTATGACACAACTTACTTAGCTTAGCAATTTTATTGACAAAAACAAATCTAAAACTATTTGCATAAATGTATTACAAATATTGAATTGTTATCTTCCATACTAAAGAGCCTTTAGTGTTTGTTACTATTAATAGTGAATAGCTGTAAAAGTGGTGTATTTTTATGAAAAAAACTGCTTGCAGAAGTGATTTAAAAAATTAGATTTTTCGCTTTCAGAAAAGAAAAAAGTAGCCGTTGCACCAGAACTTTAAATGACCTAAAATATTATGATGTCGTATTTTCACTATCTTTTTTAGTTTACGAGATCTAAAGAGGCAGACATTCCACACAAAATAATAACGTCTTTGCTCCTTTCGGGGACTGCTAAAAAGCTTCTAATTAACATGTGACCTTTCCTGTGTTATTAGCTATTGAGGCAGAAAAGACATTGAACTGAAGATTGCAAAAGCTAGGTGCTGCATCATTTCATCTGTGATGCCATCTGGGGCAGCCTCCTCCAGGCGTCTCAGATGTGGACGAATCTCTTTTGGCATCTGCATCAAAACCTCAACGACTTTTTTTGGGGGGAGTTCGAGGTGGAGGATTGACTTGTGATGTTGCATGCAGGCTTGCGAAGGGTGCAGAGAATACCTTCAAGGGGCTGCTGTTTTGCTCTTTGCCATTAGATCTAGTGATCTTTGTCTGGCCATCGGATCAAATTAATGCGGGTTCTGACATGTCTATCTTGTACAACCATGGAGGAACGGATGCAGTCTAGAATAAATGAGAGTAAAGTGCAATGTTTGCCCCTCTCTAAATTTTTTAAATGTCTATAGATTCTTGATTCTGTAAGGGTCTTTGGTGCCTGGTATCTAAACAATATATATATATATAGAGAGAGAGAGAGAGAGAGACAAGAAGCCTATTATTTGTCACTATATTGTTGTATACTCGTGTGGAGTTTTTGATCTCCCATCGAGCGCCTCCCCAGGATAGGGGAATGCCCTCCAGATATGGTGGGTACCGGGGAAATAAAATACACGGGGTGGACCAAAATCAAACTTGCTGCCTTGCAGGAAGTGGAGGGATCCACAAAGGCTAGGGCACCTTACTCGAACATAAAGGCAGCTATCCAGAGAGCTGAAAGGGGCAGCCCCCCAGATGGTTATGCACAGGGCTAACAACTCTGTCATATAAAAAATACTGTTACGAAAGCCTATACACACAAGAAAACCCAGACAGATCTCAACAGAAAACGACGTAGGCCTGGAAAAGGACATGATTTTTGTTTTGCGACATGGAACGTGCTAAGCCTTTATAGAGCAGGTGCGCTAGCCCAACTTACTGAAGTGTTAAAGAAATATAGAATACCCCTTGTAGCCCTACAGGAAATCAGGTGGAAAGACTCAAAATAGTCCTAGGAGATTTCAATGCAAAAATTGGAAAGGAACCAGCATTCAGACCAACAATTGGCAAAGAAAGCTTACACGAAGAGACCAACAATAATGGCATAAGATTAGTGGATTTTGCATCAGGAAAAGAAATGTCTATCAGCAGCACAAAATTCCAACATAAGAATATTCACATGGTTACCTGGATCTCACCTGATGGCAACACCCAAAATCAAATAGATCATATACTCATAGATAAGAGACATGGATCAAACATACTAAATATAAGAAGTTTCAGAGGAGCTAATGCTGACTCAGACCACCTACTAGTAAAGAATAAACTTAGACAAAGAATAAGTACCATACACAATTACCAAAGAAAGAGAGCACAGCAATAGGATAGTCAAAAACTCACAAAGGATCCACTTGTTGCAGAAACGTATAGAATGGCACTCCAAACGCAACTGACAACATTAGAAAAGGAGAGCGAAAATAACATAAATGAGCATTGGGAAATAATAAAGCATGCTATCAAAAGAACAGCAGAAGAGGTAGTTGGATTGAAACAAAAGAACGAGACAATAGGGGGGGGTATGAGGGCAGACAGACTATAGAAGAGAAGAACAATGCTACAGAGAGAAACCAGGAACACTAGACAGCAATACAATGAAGCAAGAAGAGAAACCAGGAACACTAGACAGCAATACAATGAAGCAAGAAGAGAAACCAGGAACACTAGACAGCAATACAATGAAGCAAGAAGAGAAACCAGGAACACTGGACAGCAATACAATGAAGCAAGAAGAAGGGCCACAAAAGTTGTAAGAAAGAAAAAACGGGAATGGGAAAAGTCCAAGATTACTCAAATTGAGGAACTAGCAAAGGAGGGAGACCTGAGAGGAATGTATATGAAAATTAAAGATGAAAAGAAAGGATTTCAAGCTAGATCACACATGTGTGAGAACAAAGATGGTCACCTTATTACAGAAAACAGTAGGGTCATTGAGAGATGGGCTGAATACTTTGAGGAGATCCTAAATACCACTGAAGATGGAGACAACTGAGAATATGAACTGCCACATGGAGGACCAGATCCCTTAGTGAACCCACCAACACTCATTGAAACATCAGAAATAATTAGGACCATGAAGAATCACAAAGCACCAGGAGAGTACCAAATCACAGCAGAACTAATTAAATATGGAGGGAAAGACTTACATTCCCAAATACACAGACTAATATCAAGAATTTGGGAAGAAGAAGTAATACCAACAGAATTCGAAACGGCTCTTATAACCCCAATACACAAAAAATGATCCAAGTTAAAGTGCTGTAATTACAGAGGAATCTCTCTACTAAATGTGACTTATAAGATACTGTCTAGGCTTATAAAT